GAGTGACCTAGCTGTCTCAAGGAGATGTCTATGTTTTCTCTCCACAATCCCATTCTGCTGAGGTGTATAAACACAGGTTCTTTGATGCACAATGCCATAGGAATGGAAAATGTTTTGACATTCTTGACTGACAAATTCAGTACCATTATCACTTCTGAAGGCTTTTATGGTTTTCTGAAATTGATTTTGGATGAGAGAGATGAAAGAAGAAAGGGTATGAGGCACTTGATTTTTGTGTATAAGAAGATATAACCATGTAGCCCTACTGCAATCATCTACAATGGTTAAAGCATATTTAATCCCCTTTAGATTTTTGTCATTACAAGGTCCCCATAGGTCTATATGTAAAAGCTCAAAGGGTGACTGACTTTGCAAAGTAGAAACATGAAATGGATCTCTGTGTTGTTTTGCCCTAGCACAGGTTTCACAAGATTTCACTGATATTTCATTATGATCAGAAAGATAAGGCTTCAAGAATGACAAATGTTTCAAAATGTTTCAAAGAGCTTACAGATGCATGTCCTAACACAACATGCCAATTCACAAGCTTATTTTTCTCAGAATCAAAACTTATCGATGCAAACCAGCAAAACTAACAACACTCTGTAATAAAAAACTCTTCGATTTTGAGCCGAGCCGAGCCGAGCACTTTGAGTTCGAGCTCGTGCTCGTTTAATAAATTAACTAGTTTTGTTCAACTCTTTTAAGTTTGTCTTGGCTCTGTTCGACTTAGCGTATGAAAATGAATTGTTCGCAGACATGATTATAACATGGTTGGCTCAAACTGCTCGTTCAAACTCTTTGCAAGTAATAAACAAACAAATAAATGAGTTGTTCATGAGCAAGTTCAGTAAAGATGTTCGAGCTTGGCCGGTTGTAGTAAACGAACGGGTAGATGAGCTCGAGCATTTCACAAGTGACAAGACGACTGTGTTTCGAACATCTCGGTTCATGAAACACCTCCAACTAATATCTATAAATACTTATTCTTTTAATACGAATTAGTGTGTATCCCGTGCGATACACGGGTAAACAATATTAAATTGTTATTATAAATAAGTATCAAGTTCGAGTCACCCAATGAAAGAAGTGGGGAACCACTAATGACATTCGCTTAAAAGAGCAAGAAAGATATTATAAATTAAAGATGAGGGTAAACGTTAACGATGTGGGGTTAACATGTCATATAAATTACGATATATCAGTTTATTATAAACGATATAAAATTAGCTTGTTCAAGAGAACATAGAATTTGTATGTTTAAACAATTAAAAACTCCTAAAATATTATATTACCATATGTAAAATTATCTAAACTTTTCTATATTATTATTAAAAGATGTGAAGTCACCTAAAACTTTTTTAAATTTTTTTGTAAAGTAAATATATCTAAAAACATTAAAGTTTACATTTGTATGAAAGATGTTTTCTGAATATGACATGGTAAAATATTATATAAAAGTATCTAAAATATTATAAGCCTAAATAAATACATTATAAAGTTTTGAAAGAAAATTTACCTAGTATATATAAAATAAATATTGCCATGGTTTTGAAAATTATGACGATACTACCGCACCTGAAAATTTGAGTATAGAAGATTTCAAAAATTATTATTGTTATTATTATTATTATTATTATTATTATTATTATTATTATTATTATTCTTTTGAGTAATTTGAGTACAAAAGATTTCAAAATTATTATTATTCTTCTTTTAAGTAATTTGAGTATATAAGATTTTAAAATTATTATTATTATTATTCTTTTAAGTAATTTGAGTACAAAAGATTTTAAAATTATTATTATTTTTTAGTTACTGTAAAAAAGAAATTTTGTGCGCATAAAATTTCACGCTTTATGCAGATTTATCAATTTTATAAATAAAATGAGATTTATTTTATATTGAATTGAGCCTAAGACAATTTTGAAAAAAAAAAACTGTCTATTTTCAAAATTATCTTCTTAATTTTTGAAACTATACATTTGTAATTCGATTTATTATTTTAAAATTTTGAAACTTATGGAAAAAAAATTAAAGAGATGAATTTCGATTGATTTGAAATTCTTAAACCATTTTGAATTTCGTGCAAATTGAAACCTAAAAAAAATGAAATTCATTATAATTTTTTAATTTCCAAGAGGTTTGTTAATTTTAAAGTGACGCAAAATTCTTCATTTAAGGTTAGCCACCCAAGGATAGAAGCATGTGATTAGATATTTTTTAATTCAATTTGAACAAAATCCTTTATATTAGGAAGAAATTTTGAATTAAGCCCAATTTTATGACAACTTAAATGAGAAGGGATTTTAGATTTCAAATTTTCAATTCAAGTTTTAAGGTAATTTTTTCGGCAATCTGATTGTTTGGAATAAAAAACACAATTGAATTTTTTAAATCAAATATGAGAAAGGATTTTGAATTTCAAATTATATTCAATGATCGAATTTTTTAGAACTTAATGGAACCGAATCCACCAATTTATCTTTTAGGGGTTTAAATGAACTGTAATTTATTAAATGAACCAAATTCACCAAATAAATGAATTATAATTTATTTTTTAAAAAAATATAAAAGCATCCGGTTAAAACAATTGTAGTAGTCGAGTTGATGTTCAAAGAGTTTCTGAATTTTTGTAAATACTAACGCAAGTTTATTATTAAATTACGCGTAATTTATTTTTTTTAATAAAATAAAATTTACAATTCGGTGTACGATTATATGTTAAAGAAAGTTTTTTTTTTTTTTAATTTGTGAAAATGAAAAAGGAACAACTTAATCTTGCGCAAAAATAAATAACAAACTCCACTTAACAAACTCCACATTTAAATGCAATAATTAATGATGCACGTTTGTAAATAAAAAATAAAATAAAAATTTGTTATTAATAGCATGCAATTAATGCTCAACCATATTTGACCACAATTTGACTTGCTATTTTTAAAAAATAGTAATTCTTTTTATATAGATATAGATAGATAGGAATGTATAAATAGAAATTTTGATGTTATGGTGCATAACCTTTAAATAATCATACTTTCTCACAAGAAATGCACAATTGTAATATGAAATGTCATTTTTTTTTTGTTATGTTATAATCCTCCCTATATATAATTCCAGAATGCGCTGAGCCTATGTGGCTGCTTTTGGTGCTTCGAAATCTTATTTGGCGAAGAATCATGCTTCGTAATTAGGTTTGGATAAATAATATTGATATATTAATAATTAATAATCTAGGTTCGGGTATTCCATAAATATTATTTAGCTAATTTAGGTATTTTAATATCACTTTTACTAATATAACCATTTTAACTCTTTGTAATTTTACATAGTGAGGCACTAAGTGACTAATATATCCCTGAATTTTGATTTATTTCCTTCAATAAGCTATTGAATTATAAATGTATTATAAAAGTTGATAACTTTTGCATTTCTTATCAGGTTTACATATATAATATATCAAATTAATCATCTTTTGATGATCTTCGATTTGACATCCATATTGTATATATATGAAATAAATAAATTATATTTATCTTTATAATAATAAAAAAATAATAATATTTATTGAAATTCATTAGAAAAATAATATTATTTTTCAATTGATATATTTATATGTAATGTAGTTATATATTGTAAGTTAAAAAAAATTAGTATAATATAACACAAGTAAATTGCACAAATAAAAGGTGTCATAATAAATATATAATAATATATATATTCTTATAAAAGGTATTTAAATTTTCAAACTATTTTTTTCTCATTAATTTTAAATTTTAAGAAAAAAATTAGCAAGCACCCGTGTAATACACGGGTGTTGTACTAGTTTAAAGTATGATATTTGAATATAAAAGTGTGTAAATTTACAATAAAATTGTGTCATACACATACCGACATAATACCTACTGTTATTTTAAACTTTACAAAGTGCCTTTCAAACATCGACATTTGCATCTCATTCTTTTAAAATCCACAAATTGTTACGGTTTGAAATCGAATTTGATCCATCAAAATTTAGTTTTAGAAGCCAGACCTAAAATTTTGTATACAGTAAAAGATAGTTTGTCAATTTAAATGAATAACAAACAAACAAAGTATAAAATTTCGAATAATCTTAAAGTAAAAAAAAAAAAAATAGTTATGTAGAGAGAGAAAAAAAAACACTCATAAGAACAATTTCAATTCATAGGATACGCTCGTGACTAGAGCTGCAAATGCGTCGAGTTGAGTCGAGCATTTACTTTATCGAGTAGGATTTTTTTTTTGCTGCTCGAGCTCGCTGAGCTCGATTTTTGAGGCTCAAGCTCGACTGATAAAAAAGTACAATCGCTCGAGTTAGACTCAAAATCAAAATGTTCAAGCTCAACTCGAAAATTTTTAAGTGGAAAAGTAAAATTACCATTAAACACATGCTCTATGTTATTGTTATATATATAAACGCTAGCTAGATTTAAGGGGTTGTTATTGTTCTATATAAAAATGCAAGCTCGATTTAAAGGGTATTTTAGTAACATATATATCGAGTCGCTCGACAATATAAAATATAGCTCCAATTCGACTCGAGTTCAATCAAACTCAAGCTCGAGTATTCGAACGCTCGGTTCGTTTGCAGCCCTAAACGTGACTAATATATAGGGAACTAATTAGAAACAGATGTCAAAAAGAAAAAATAAAAATAAAAATCCGTACTCGATAAACATATACAGAAAAATCTGAATCATCGTTTTTCCCTTTGTACTAAATAGATGTCGTAACACACACACACCTTCACTGTGAGAGAAAAAAAAAAAAAAAAAAAGATGATTGAATCTGAATCCAACATTCCGATTCTCTTCAAATTCCTTGAAACCTAAATCGTTCATGTGAATTGAAGTGAAAAAAAAGAGCAAGAATCACTTTGTTTTATTTATTTATATTTTTTTTTTCGATTTTGTGTTAAATATATAAATTTCGTTTTGCTGCTGCTTTGGGTTCGCCTTTCGTCTGAGTGTCGGTGAAGAATGAACGGTGGTGGCGACAGTGGAGAGGTGGCATCAGCTGCGGCGGGCCCACCCGCGCCGCTGGAGTGGAAATTCTCCCAGGTTTTCGGCGAGAGGGCGGTCGGGGAGGAGGTGCAGGAAGGTAAAAAAAATGATGAGTTAATGAATGGTGATAAAGTGATTTATCGATTTTTGTTCTGGATCTGCTGGCTAGGGTTTGAGTTTCTGTGATTTGATCCGTTTTTTTGGGATTTTTTGTTGGCTTGATTAAGCAGAAATTTGTTTTCCGATTGATTGGGGGATGTAAGTGTGTGTGATCTGCATGATAGAGTTTCTATTAACATTTTTTGAGGGATTACAGTGAAGTGGAATGAAGTGAGTCAGAGTTCAAATGCAAGTTTTTTTGCTAACATATACGGTCCAGTATGATTTTTTTTTGTTTTGTTTTGTTTGCGGAATAGTGTTTTAATTTTATGCTGTGATTTCGAATCTCATTGTTGCTTTCTGTGCTTGTTCTTGTTAAAAATGTTTTTTTTGCCATTCACAAACCTTAGTTATGAAGGTTTGAGTGTATGGCTTGAACTAGAGCATCACTTTGTGTTTTTTGTTCAAGTCTTTTAACACTGGTTGCTGTAATCAAGGTATTATAATAGTTTTTCTATAACTACATTTGGCTTTTGGTTTGCTGTACTATCCATTGTGACCTCCTGACATTGTGCAGTCAACTAACATTAACTTATCTTTGCATTATTATTGGACTATGATATATTTATGTAGAGGTTTTGGCTTATTTGTTTTGTAATTCTGGGTTGTTAAAGTAGGAGAAGTGTCGCCCGGCTTCCAGAGATTGGACTATTGGAGAAGCATTACAAAATAGTTATTTATACAGTTTGTCTAATTTGTTTTGTAGTTCTTAGTCGTAAACATGTGTTGCTACAGGATGATATGCAGCTTCATAAAAATTGCTATCTTTGCCAGAGTTTACCGGTGTTGGTCACAATGTGCCAATGATGAAGCATAGAGATATTTGAAATCTGTTTTTTGTTCAGTATTCTTTGCCATTATCTGAACTGCATGTTACATAAACTGGATATATTAGGCAAAGCTAACTAGCATAAAGCTGATTACATATAAAAGGAAAATTACCCATTTCTGTATGTTATTGCTTCTGTTGACTGCCCTTGTGCTGTTTAATTGGAAGCATCGGTGTTGCAAAAATTAGGCTCCTGTGAAACTTTAGTCTGTGCAACAAGTATGCACTGAATATTTGGGGTGGTTGCACACTAAGTGTGTCCTGATATAGAAAAGCATGTCAAAGTGTACATTTGGTGTAATAATAAGTGGTAACTAATCCAAAGAGTTGGATGCATGGAGATAGTATACTGCCTGAATGGGATTTCGCATGTCTTAATTTCTGTCATCTTCTCACTCACACACACAGGCATGCAAGAGTACAATATTAAAATTTATTAATTTAAAACTGTCAGTGTCAATGATTCTAAATCTGAATGATGCTGGTATTACATGTATTCGTGCATTTAAGCTAACTTACTTGCCAGGTTACTTTTCTGCACTGTATATCTTTATCCTTATATATTGAAGTTGAAAAGATACAGTATAGAACTGTTAGTTGATATTCTTATGCATTTTTTCTCTATTTGCAGTTGATATAATCTCTGCAATTGAGTTTGACAAATCTGGTGACCATCTAGCTACCGGTGACCGTGGTGGAAGAGTAGTGCTATTTGAAAGGATTGATACAAAAGAGGTGGTGTTTCAGAACATCAAAGAGAATCAGTTCTATTTTCTTTGTTATGAATTTATTTCTTAGATACTGCAATAAATTTGCAGCATGGTGGAAATCGGAGAGATTTAGAGAGGATAGATTATCCAGTCCGACACCCAGAATTCCGTTATAAAACAGAATTTCAAAGCCATGAACCTGAGGTACTGTTTTCAAGTTTCAGCAAGTTTCTTATTGTTTCTTACAGAGCCTCATCCATGATTAAAATTTTTAGTTTTTCTTTCAAGTATATGACTCTTAATCTAATCCCAGGGTGCTACTCGTTTAAGTTGGAAAGTTGTTCAAAAGGCATCTCTTTCCATTCCTGTTTCCTTGTTTATTTTTAATTTACTTTCTCTTTTCTTTTCTTTTCTTTTTACCTCGTGCCCATTCTGAGAAAGTTAAACTGAAGGCTTGAGTGATAATGTTAGCTTCCATTTATTTTTCCATCAGTTTGATTATCTAAAAAGTTTGGAGATTGAGGAGAAAATCAACAAGATTAGGTGGTGCCAGGCAGCTAATGGTGCCCTCTTTCTTCTGTCTACTAATGACAAAACCATTAAGTTTTGGAAGGTGAGATTGGAACTTCAGTCTTGAGCTTCATTTCTGTTTATAGCTTGTACAAAGAGAAATTACTCCATTCATATTAGTTATTGGTAATTCTATGAGAAATCATGGGTTTTCATCCTAATCATATTATGTATTTATGTTGAAAATTTTGTTTTTATATTTATTGTGGTGAAGGCCTTTATGTGGAACTTCATCTTATTAGTCACTTTCATATTCTGTCTTTGTGAAGAGTCTTTGCTGGTCATCTACTAAGGATTACAGCATTGCTAGCACCACTAGCTCAGGAGAATTATATATTTTTCTGTCACTAAAACTTAAATTTTGTTTTAGCATACAAAAAACTTATATTTCGTTGTACCTGAATTTATTTGTCCTGTCGTAATTTACAAGGAAACTCTGTTATACTTGCAATGTTGGAGGTTTCCATCTTTAATGTGGTTTGAATTTGGAAGGAACATAATTGCTTCTGGGGAGAACTGATGCTTAATCACATTTGCAATAATAATAATAATAATATAAATTAAGCTATAGTTTTTTCCCTGCAGTCTATCGTCCTGCTTGATTTTTTTTTTTTATTTTGTGTGTGTGTGTGTGTGTCTTTAACAGGTCCAGGAGAAGAAAGTGAAGAAAATTTCAGATATAAATGATGTCCCATCTAAAGTTTCCGGAAACGGTATTGTTGCAAGTTCTAGTGTTTCCCCAAATCCTAAGCAGAGTCTTGCTAATGGAGGCCATTCAGACCGATCTTACAACAGTTTGAGCGATGACTTGTCCTTTCCACCTGGGGGCATTTCTTCACTGCGGTTGCCAGTGGTAGTTGTACTTAATGAAGCTATACTTTTTTTTTTTACTAGGGAGTAGGAATTCTTGTACAATACTGCTTGTCTGAATGTGTTATGTGGGATAGTTTATGTTTGTGTCTGCTTGTGCCATTTAGAATGTAGAAAAACAATTTGGACTGTCGGTGTTTGAGTCTTCTTGGATGTGAGTTAATTTAGTTTCTTGATTCTGAGGTATGGTTCTGTGTTATTACCACAATTATTTATACTTGGTCCTTTGTTTTCACTCTGTAATATTTGATTATGCAATCTGCAGGTTACAAGCAGTGAGACGAGCCTGCATGCCAGATGCAGGAGAGTATATGCACATGCGCATGATTACCATATCAATTCAATATCAAATAACAGGTGAATCTTGCTTCTGCCCGTGTTGTGCGTTTGAACTCCTTATGCCTTTGAGGTTTTCTTGACAAAATTGATTTACGATGATTCAAGCTTTTAGATATTTGTATACTATGATGATTATCTTGCCTCTTGTGCCCCGTACCTTTTTTCCTGCTTAACCCAGAGTCCCAGAGGCTGAACAGCAAGAATGATATAAATTGAAAAGATTAGCCTACTTATAAATTGTAACTCAAGATTTCTATGGTGATTTTGATTTTTTTATTTGTTCTGAGACAATAAGTGACTCCAACTATCATCCTTTAACTTAATGAGATATCTGGACAGTTTGTCATTGTGGTGTTGTAATGCATATCTTCTTTCTCTTGCTATTAATCTAACCCTTTGCGTGGCAGCAGCTTCAACTACTGTTTTTTCTGTACGGTTTGGCTAAAGATTGCAAAAATGGTAGTTTAAGATTTAGGGGACATCTTTAAATAAATAAGTTTATGATTACTCTTAAACTTGATAGGAATACTATGTTATTGGTGGAATTTGGTCTTGGTAATTACTATTTTAGACAGACCCCGGATGACTTGCACCATTAGGTACTTTGGTGCTCTATGTAGTGGTTCACTTAAAATATCCTTCGGCGTTAAGAACAAGTGTACAGTTAGAAATGATTTTATTTTACAAGCTCTTGATTGAGATAGTAAATTCTATAGGCAACGAGCAATTATTCGTTAATCACCTGACTATGCTGCATAATACCACAACCTTGTAAATTGCACAACTGCACATACATGCGTTCTATTAATACAACTACCAACTGAATTTGCATTATAAGCTTGTGTGAAACCTTTGTGCGCTCTCTTTCTGCGTTGGTTAATTTGAGCTCTAAATCAATACCCTAATTATTCTTGCAGTGATGGTGAAACATTTATATCAGCCGATGATCTACGGATAAATCTTTGGAACTTGGAAATAAGCAATCAAAGTTTTAACATTGTTGACGTGAAGCCCACCAACATGGAGGATCTGACTGGTAAGTTGAATCTGATTGTGCTTGTATTTTGAGATTCTTTTGTTATTTCTGTCATATCCTTCATCTTTTGTTTCTCTTGGTGAGAATCTCCCAGGAGCAGTGATGTTAACTGCAAGGCAGTTTTTACTTGCCCTTTCCTACAAGTATTGGTTGATTATAATGGCTCCTTTCTAGAATCTAGTTTGCATAGAATAAGCATGCGTCTAAAGTTTGAGGCTAGTATAGTTTCTTTCTCCTGTTCTGTTTTTTGTTGTATAAGGTCCTCCTGCAAGAGAATGAGACATTCAAAATTTAGTGGAAATTTTGTCTATTATTTTAATGTGACAAAGGTAGTTGGGTTAGTTTTGGACATAAACCATAATCTAACAGCACAATACCACGAGCTTATATACTTAATCATTAATTTGTGTAGAATTTGTTCATTATTTTAATTTGACCAAGGTAGTTGGATTAGTTTTGGACATATATCATAATCTAACAGCACAAAATCCCGAGCTTATCTACTTAATCATTAGTTGACTCCTTTTTCTCATCCCAGAGGTAATAACATCAGCCGAATTTCATCCTACCCACTGCAATACATTAGCATATAGCAGTTCAAAAGGATCAATCCGTCTCATTGATTTGCGGCAATCTGCATTATGTGATTCACATTCTAAGATGTAAGTCCTTTGCCAGCAATATGTTTCAAGCTCCCGATTATACTTTTTGGTTATTTTATCTGCCCTCAATGTTTTTTTTTTTTTTTTTTTTTTTTTTTTTTTTTTTTTTTTTTTTTTTCCTATTGGGAAGTCAAGCATTGGATCATTTTAAGATCCCTACATTCTTATATTTCAGAGTAGTCGTTTGAATTTGATTACCTTTGCCATTTTTAAACAGTTTTGAGGAACCAGAGGCACCAGGATCAAGATCTTTTTTCACTGAGATTATTGCTTCTATATCGGATATTAAGTTTGCGAGGGATGGCAGACATATACTGAGTCGTGATTACATGACCCTTAAGGTACTATCTTCCGGCCAGTACCTCGTTAAGAATTGCCTGCTTTTATTGTTTAGTCTGTTTTTATTTTTGTAGTTTATTCGTTTATTTGTTTTTACTTTAATTTTTTTTTGGAGCAAATGCGGGTGGCATTGTTTGATAAGTGAAGGCTCGGCTTATCGAGAGTAATAAACAATTTCCTTAATGAACATGTAGTGCTATCAGAAAAAGGTGATTTCAATATTATTAATCAATTAATCTTGACTTATCTCTTTTCTCTCTTTTTTTCTTTATAGTTTATTTCTTTTATGGAAGATTCTAGTGATCTGCTTGAAAATTTTCATCACCTACTTCATGTTTTGAAGAATATACCAACATTCTCTTCACTGTGTTATATTATTTCTTTTATTGCCGTCTCAACTTTCTCATTTGGTGTTCTAGTTGTGGGATATAAATATGGATTCTGGCCCAGTGGCGACCTTTCAAGTTCACGAGTATCTGAGACCGAAGGTAAAATTACCCAACCCCAGATCATTTTTACCTTTTTTTTTTACCATACAAATTTTGTCGAGCTGATGAACTTGTAATTTCATGATGTTCAGCTTTGTGATTTGTATGAAAATGATTCTATATTCGACAAATTTGAGTGCTGCCTGAGTGGTGACGGTCTTCGAGTATCAACTGGTTCTTACAGGTGTTATGAAATTTCTGTTGAGATCATAGTCACTCTTCATAAAAACACCCTTTCCATTTTTGTGTTTACATAATATTTTACACAATTTCAGCAACCTGTTCCGAGTGTTCGGCTGTGCCCCAGGCAGTACCGAGGCAACTACACTGGAAGCGAGCAAAAACCCGATGAGGTACTTTTTGTATCAAGAGTAAAAAACAATGGTGGTAAAGTTATTTCCTTCACTTAAAAGACACATCCCATGATGCATGCAGGAGGCAAGTGCAGACCCCTTCAAGGCCTTCCAGATCCTTGAGCAGCAGCATCACTCGTGTCGTCCGACGAGGTACCTTCTCCCCTGTTGCATATATATTTCGTTTTTATATACTTCTTGTTTTTCTACGGGTGAGTGGAAAAAGCTTTTACATGGAGATGAATTTATTTACCTATAACAGGATTGAAAAAAGAATTGAAAGTTGGGTGTTGTTGGAAATAGCAGATAATTTTTTTTTTCCCCTAATTATTATGGGCAGAGTGGATGGGATGGGATTTTAGTATTAGACTACTTTTTTTTTTTT